TAACGGAAATAGCAAATAAATAATGTAGTCACTTTATTATTTGAACGCGATTCCATCAACCTACGAAAAACAAACACAGCATCAATTGCGATATTATTGTAAGGACGCATTTATCAGATTAAAAACAATTATTGTTATTAATAATGCTGTGGAAACGTACGTCAATAGCTGTACAGTGGTGCAGGGGCGCAGCGCAAACGTACATTCAAATCTTGAAGGATATTTAATACATTTGGTCTTACGCTGTCTTTCGAGGTAAAATTATCCCTTAATTCGAAGAAATTCTTTACCAGCACGTCTCGCGCGCGATCAATTGAAAGGAAATAATAATTTTTACTAATTTTTAGATTTAAATGTGCAAAAAAATAGCGCACACTCGCTGTGCTCGTGGGTCCATTTGAGTTCTGAACATTTTATGACGTCAACGGACATACAACTCAAAACCTTGCGCAATTTGTTAAATGTTTCCAGTTTTACAAGTTTAATCAGCAGRAGACGGTTAATTATGTTATGTCTTATTTGAACCACATTTTATCTCTGACTTGTCAACTTTAAAAATTTCTTTCAAAATCAATGATAAATTTTCTCTTCCACATAAACTTAACACAAGTAAAAATGCACATTTTTGGGAACCTCACTCCCCACAGGGGATTTTTGATGATGTTCACCTAGTCAACTCACCATAGATCTTTTTGATGCCAGCGATATCGTCGTTACTCAAGTCAGCGGTTGAGTAGCAGCAGCTTGGCCACATGACGGCACCGTCAACATTAGAGTGTTTAAGCCCAAGGGCGTGGCCGATCTCATGGGTGGCTACCTGTGGTAAGGGTTGCTTGAATAAACCGTGATTCTCATACGCTGACCACCATTCCTTCTCATCAAAATGAACACGGCCATCTTGAGGCGCGAAGGCGTGGGCAAGAACACCGTTCCATCCATCAAAATTACTACTGCACTTCCTCTCCCCAGGGACACCGGAGTGCTCACTGTACCCAAAGCTACGTACAAAATATATGCAATTAATTTAGAACACAAATATCAGAGATAAAGCTAAAACAATTATTTCAAAAATGACTGCAGATAATTAGTCGAATTTAATTTAATTAATTTAATACAAGATAACGATACAAAGCAATGTGGGAATTGCTCCAGAATTCTTATGAGCATGCGTGCTAAGTAAATTGCCACCTTTACATGAAAGACCGTACAGGGGCTTTGAAAACTTACTAGAAACCTATATTGGACTTAATTACTAGTTTCATACTTTACTACTTTACGTTGTGTCGAATTGGCCAATCATCAGTCCCCTTCACCATTATCTTACTGCAGAGCTATTTAAACTAGGATAATAAATTATCGTATTTTGCAATAAATAAACATTATTTCTGCACGTACGAACAGTGAGAGAAAACCGGTTTACCAACCTCAATCTGAAATTTGCTCTTYTGGGRTCCATTGTTCTTGTAAACTTGAGTCTCGGTGCCGCCTTTGACCATCTCTCAAACGCTTCCTTRATAATTCTTACTTGATCAGCCTCATACAAATCTTTACCAAACTGCAGATAATAGGTCAAGTCGGTCTTGTACCACCTGTACCCCCACAGGACGTACCTACGAACACGGGTGGGGAAGTCTTCAATATCTGCTACACCACATCGAGGTTTGGCCATTTCTTTCAATGTGAGTTCGTCCAGTTTTCCTGTCACTGGGAGATGCATGAACGTCTGGTACATTCTGATGGCTTTCCCCACGTCATGGTTACCTGAGCGAGCTCGATTGGAAAGATAGCCATACTTGTGCAAGAAATTCTAACAATGAAATGAAGCCATTATCAAATGTACACTTTATCAAAGACCTAAGAACATAAAAGCTGCAATCAAACGAATACGTACAGGAACTGGTACGCATGGGAGGGGGGACCCAAGACTTTTAAAAGGGGCGGAGATGTAGGGAAATGGTTGTAAAAGCCTTTAAATCGGTCACGTGACACAGTCTTGAATTATGATGCTGTTATATACGTTGTAAAGAAAAGCAGCCGAAAAATATCTGCTCAAAATAAATAAACATTAACGTGCAAGTTTCCCTGTCATTTTTTTT